TTGTAATTTAATGATGGAGAGTTTCCTTAGTAAACCAAATTTAGAGTCCTAGAATGCTTATCTTATATCCAGACCTTGAACATAAAAGGCATTTTATACCCGCAATTGTTCATTTAATGAGCAATTGCAGAGTGCAGGCCGGTTAAGGGATTGAGCTATATGCACTATTATTGCAAGAAGTATTCCGAAATACCAGAAATAGGACGTAAGCTCTGATCAGGGAGACTGCGAGCACAATTACCTTCTTTTCAAATCCTTCTGTGACACTGCGGGAGGAAAAAGGACTTTGAAACTTGAAAGGAAAGAGCTTGCTTTCAACCTCAAAAGCTAGGAGGAAAGGGCTCTGAAATTTGCTCAGAATTCCCAATTCACCATTAGCCTGTTTCTTCCTTTAGCCTCAAGGCATTCTCCGCTTTTTGAAAAGATGTTAAGAAATTCAGTCACAATAGAGAGCCTAGTTTTGAACATGTTTCACTCGGTCCATTGAGGTCTGGGCTCCAGCCTTTGTGTGGGGTGAATTGAGCTGAGCGGCTAGCTGGTTGGAGAGAGGTGAATGAAGAGTCGCTGTGCAAGTCGCAAATTCTGGCAAAGAAAAAAGCTCACCCCTTCCTTTATTTTACAATATGCATTCCTGTACAATCCTGCTAGTGGCAATATGTGGAGCTGAGCCTGTCCCTAAGTCAATACGGAGTACTTGGTTTATAGCAACTCTTGTTAAGTTTGTCTTGTAATTGAAGCTGCTGTTGACCTTGCTTGGGGACCATTTGTAAAACCGTTTATTTAGCATAAACTGAAATAATAAACCCTCCTTCTCTGGGGCCGATTGTGATAGGGTGACATTAGTTTGATTTAATGATTAGCCACCTGACCCTTCTGCTGGAGAGAGCGGCTTGAATAGGGAGAGTTCACTCCGAAGCACTCGGGAAGAATACTAATGAGCTTGTTAAATTTAGCATGGCTCCAACCACTTTTAATTCCTCTAATGGGAGCCGCACTGCCTGGGAGAGGGAGAGAGAGAGCCAGAGAGAGGCCGAGAGACACCGAGAATGTTTCTAGAGGGTGCGCACAGCTAGAAAGAGCTCACCAAGAGAAGTTTGCAGGAAGTAGCTAGCCAGAGCTTGGGGACTGAGTTGTAAGTATTGTCTGCTTTTTTACCCTTTGTGGCTTCTAGGTCTTGGGATAGACAGGAGAAATGGTATTCAAATGGGGTTGGGGGGGGTAGTTGAAAATCAGTGTTCAGGGAAAGAGGGTAAGCACATGCATTGTGAGCTCCTCATCCGCCAGTTTCATTGGGTGACAGGAGGGTGTCCTTACTTAGTGATGCCTGACAGAGTTTTGTTTTTGCACTGAAAGAATTGTCTGAAACTTTTCTCTCCGAAAAAGATGCTTACCTCTTCTGTTACAAGAAACCCTACAGGAGTTGGTGGCGTAGGAGTGTGTATTCGAATCCTGCTTCATGCAACAGGGTGACTTTCTCCAGACCTTTTTTTATTATCAATGTCCTAAGCATTGTATGTGGTGAAGCAGCTTTGGATATTTCCAAGTTTCTGGCATCAAGAGTGTGGCACCCCAAGTAGGTTGCTTTTGGATGAGTTTGGCAAATCTTGGACAGTTTTTAAAACACGATGCTTTGGGCAGCTCTTCATTTGAGGGCAGGAATTCATTCACTTCATCTTGAGCATGGATATACAGAAAGAAGGAGGTACCAAGTAGGATTATGATGACAGTATTTAAAGTGATTTTTTTCCCTGAAAGTTTTGAGTGAATTGCATGTTTCAGTTTGACCCCCGAGCTTGCAGCTGTTAAACATAGAGAAGCTCGAACAGTTGCCTTGTGTTTGGCTGTTAAAGTCCATTGGCAGATGCTCTTGGAGCAGTGGGCTGTTTGCTTACATTTTTGTAGCAGACTTCTGCTTGTTGCCATGGTGGACAGTATGTTTCTGTCAATAATTTGGCCTGGCGTAGCCTGTCTGCACTGACTCTCAAACTTTATTGAACAGCTCAACTCAAATGAACAAGATTAGACAGCTCTCGTCTTTTGGCTTGCTGAAGTGGTTGCTGAATTTATAAGAGCAGGCAGGAATATTCCTCGGAAAGTATCTCTTTCACTGTATACTGAGTGCTTTCAAGCCTTGTAGCTGTTTGTATTCCGGAGTGTGTGTACTGTCAGGTTTTCATCTGAATGTGCATCAAAAGCAGCTCAGTGCAGGAGGTAAACTTCATGAAATATTTGTCTGCTAGAATTTTATTTGGGGGGGGGGAAGGGTGTTGGGTTAAAATGTTATAGCATCAACTACTGTAAAAGTTAAAAGTCTCCTGAAAAAAGTTTCTACAACAAAACTTCTTGCCTGCATTTAAAGGAATTACTTAATTTCTTTTTGTATTAAATATTTGAACTTTGGTTACTCCTTGTTTTATTTTAATATTCATACATGCTGGGGTAACTGATTAAGAAAAAATCATTTAGCTAGCAGGTATCCCCCATTTCCATTCATCCCCCCTTTCTTCTCCCCTAACTTCCTTTTTCCCAGGAGCTTGGGATCTGAGGGGGTTGGGAGAACTCTCTGATCAGACCACACCAATTATTCAATTATTGGTGAAGTTGATTCCAATTCTCATCATAGAAAGACATCATTTCAAAGAAACTTGAGTTTATTATAGGGATGCAGTTTCAAGAGAAGAAAAGTTAATTTCTTCTTAGGAAGATTAAGTCAAGGAAATCCTGTTTTAAACCTGGAACAGATTAGTAGAGCTTGGGTATTCATCTTAGAGAATGCTAATTACGTGTCAGAGCCCCTGTCAGGAAGGGCTTTCTGGCCTCCAAAAGAAGGTCCCATTCTACAGAATGTGTGCCTCACTGCTACAAGTTCACTTCAGGTTGAAATTTAAAATAAAGGTTTTATACAGAGCCTAAATTAGTGGAAAATATGACTTGGGCCATTTGTAGGCTAGAGGAAGTTTTATAAAACCGACATAGGTTTTAGTGTTTTTGATACCCAGTTGCTCTTACATAACTGCAAAAACCCTGTTTCTATAGCCTGCAGCTTCAGTGCTAATAAAGTACAGGGGTGGACCAGTGCCTAAAAGAGTTAGTCAGAAGGGAAAATAAGAAAGTTCTTTTTTTTTTCATTTCTTTTTGGTTGTTTATTTTAAAATTAGCAAAAGCATGATTTGAATTGGTTTTGGAAAGGTCAATGTGAACATGTGGGATTACAGCAATTTTTGTGTTTTTTATAAAATTTGATAGATTAAACCCATAATTTACTCCCCTTTTAATGTAAGGTTTTGGTTGAGGGTCTGCACAGAACAATACTAAAATAATTTTTCAAAGTTACCTTGTAGTCATCAGCAAATTCACTGTAAAGACTAAAACAGACCTCATGGTCCATTCTATTTTGCAAGTCATTTGCTAGGCTAAAACAATCCATTGTTCATTTTTCAACTTCTCCACGTAGGCACAAAGACTGAACTTGCTACTGACTTTAAGTAGTTCAAGTCCTTAGTCAACACAAAATAGTTGTTATTTTAGCTTGTATTTTTATGGGTTGTCTTTGTGTACTGCTCTGCTTTCTTCTGAATTGGAACAAAGAGCTATGAAAATGCTAGAGCATAGTTTTTCTGTTTGGGGGGGTCTCTTATCCAGTCATATCTGCATTGTGGATGACTTGGAAGATAAGTTCATATGTTGTTTATTTCAACATATTGTGTTTGAAATCTGTCCATTCATCATGTATAATAATATTTCATACATATTGTGTTTGAAATCTGTCCATTCAACATGTATAATAATGTTGTTAGTTATACCAAAATATTGTTTTTTTTTAAAAAAAAGGAATATGAAATATGTTTTGAATGAGATGCCTAAGTGGTACCTGGACAGCTTTGCTTCCATTAGCACCTACCTGCCAGAGTGCAGGCTGCTGATTATATCCAGAGCTGCTTTGGGAGTACACTAGTTTCGAATGTGTGTGTGTGATTCTGACAGGTTGGTCCACTTGTTGTGGGTTCAGCTGGCCAATTTGGTTTCATTGTGTGCCTTGGTTCTTGGATCCACTATTCCAGAATGGTCATCCGATTATATTTGCAGGAGGTTCTTACAGATTGAAAGGAGATGAAGTATCAGGGGGCTGGAATACTAACTGTGGAATTTCCTCAAACTGATTCTTACTTGTTTGAAGGACCATATGCCCTGCTCCCTCTGCAGAGCATGGATGGGTGCCACCATCACTGACACTTGCCCTCCTTCCCCACATAGCTACCTCACACTTGATTTTTCACTCAGTTTTCTTCTTGGTTCCCAACTTTGCTTTATGAGCAGAAGCAGGAAGGTCTCTCAGGAGGTTCTGCATGTTTTCCTGATTGGTACCTTTCTTCCTTGTCACCAACGAGTGTTCAGTTTCATTTCTGGCTCTGTTAAATCTCTCAGTGGGTTACAAGTCTGACTTAAAAAACAACAACAACAACAACAACAACAACAAAAAAAAAAACCACACAAGAATTCTTGGATCCCTTTCTAACAGGTCATCCTCTGAAGAGCAAAGCCCTTAACACCCCTTGCAGCCACCTAGAACCCTCCTGGGCAGCTGGACTTCTCATCGCTCCAGAGGCACTGCTTCCTAAAGAGGCAAAGGAAAGCTGGACACTCAGAGTCTGAGGCTGGCAAAGGTTTCAGTCCCACATTGGACCTGCAGGATGTAGGCATGTCTGCCAGGAAAGCCTCACTGGCAGAATCAGTCATAAGCTGGTGCTGATACTTTGCTGACCCCCTGCATCTCCCTTTAACAGGCTCATTTGCTGCTTCATCCTTCCATGTGTAATTTGGACCCTTATTCATAGGCAATTTTGTCTTGCAAATATCCCATCACAGGTGTGTAGCTTGCAGAGTTGCCATGAAGGAGAAAAAGGTTTCTCTTTGGGGCAGGGAGACCTAATTGATGACTTTTTTTTTTTATCCTCCTTAAAGTAGTTTCTAGAGTCTTTTCATTTTTCTTCTTTCTTTAGAGGATGAAAGTCCTGGACAGATCTATCACCGAGAGAGAAGAAACGCCATCACTATGCAGCCACAGAGTGTGCAGGGGCTCAGCAAAATCAGTGAGGAGCCTTCAACGTCTAGTGACGAGAGGGCCTCATTGATCAAGAAGGAGATCCATGGATCCCTACCACACTTGGCGGAGCCCTCGGTACCTTACCGTGGGACGGTGTTTGCCATGGACCCCAGGAATGGTTATATGGAGCCCCACTATCGTAAGTAGTTCCTTCTGGTTGACACTTGTTCCAGGAGCCATGGGGGTGGGGGGTTGTGTGTGTGTGTGTGTGTGTGTGTGTGTGCGTGCATGTGCATGCATAAGCATGCACACGCACTGTATGAATTATTGGTCTTGTATAAGCTATAAAAATGTTTAATTTTTTTCCACTTTTCTCCCTCCACTTCTTCCTGTCCATTCTTCTTAAAGGCATTTTTCTTCATGTCTAAGCAATTTTAGGCCTTTTGAGGTGGCCTTCAGGAAGATGGTCCATTAATGACGAATCCACATGGGCCTTTTCTGGGAACTAGAACCAGATTTGCTCCATGCAAGGAGACTCTGCAGGAGAAAAAATTGGTTGTTGGTAGGCAATTATTAAAGCAGGCTGCATTCGGAGATGTATTTAATAGCAGCTGTTCCCATTTTTAATGATTTTTGATTTAATGATTTTGGCTGTTCCCATGTTTAATGGTTTGTTAAAACAAACCACTTTTAACAAATCAGTGCCAAATTCATTAATGGAAGATTTTTTCATGAGTCCTTCTCTCTAACCAGCATGCCAGAGACATTGGGAGCTCTTTTTCTAGCACTAAGAAAGTTTAAGAAATTGAGTAGGATTCTGAACACAAGTATATGATGACTTTCTCCAAAGGTAAAATATAAAGAAAAATATAGAAAGGTTGAATTTATTTCTGGCCTGTTTCTAGTTTAAAAAGTACAATTTGGTTGTGGAGTAATGAAGTTCATATTGAGGTGCCAAAGCTCACAGCTCTTGATTACAGATTTATCACCTTGCCGGGATACAGACTTGCCTTTTAACCTTCTCGGCTCCAGTTCCAGATGATCCATTGAGCTCCAGAGAAGGGGACTGGTTTGCGTTTCCCTTTTTCCACATCATTCAGAAATTTTAGTGTTTTAAGGCAAAAGGTCATTAGCCAGATGACTGATTAGTGAGGACAGCTGATTAGTGCATGTTTTTTTGCTCAAGAAAGTGCCCAGGATAAAAGCTAATTTCATCCCTTCATTAGTTGGCTTGCAGCGAAGGGGAATGCTCACTCCTCAGATCAAAGGGCTTCGAGACAACCTGAAGTCTCAGGCACTGCCTTCCACCCCCCACCAGATTATATTGTTGGGAAAGATGGAAGATGCATTATTTTTTAAATGGAAAGGGCATTTTTAAAGAATTGTTCAGAAGCATGGAGGGAAAAGTCTTATACATTCTTTAAGCTTTTTTATAAAGGCTCCTGCTTCTGTGTTTAAAAAGTGTTTCTCAGTCCTGCTGCTGCAGAGGTTCCTTCTAGAGATTCAGAAATAAGGAGGAGACGTATTGGGCAAGTGCCTTGCCTTCCCTAATTCAAGGTTTATTTTGTTCTCATTTCTTTTAGCAATGAAGATTTTAAAAACAATGTGGGTAGGATTTTTCTCTGAGCACATACTCTTCTGAATCTCTGGTATATACTATGCATAAAGAAAACATCCAAGCTTTCTACATATGCCCTACCTGTATTTGTATACCATACCCTGCTACTAAGGTTTTTTTGTTTTGTTTTGTTTTGCCCCCTGAATCAAGTCTAGATGTTTGCCCACAAGCTCCTCACGTTGTTTCTGTTCTTATGTGTGAACACAAACTTTTCTCATCGAATAGCGAGGTTTTGTTTTCTTTTCCAGATGCCCACTAATTAGTGAGGTATTTAATTAGTCAGGACAGCTGATGAGTACTTCTCTTTTGGCTGATGGTAGTGGGCAGAGGACCGTTAGCTTTCTCTGTGCCGTTCAACTTGCAGCTTGTTCTTGGTTGGTTTGTTTCAACGGTTGCCCCATTCAACCCTCTACCAGTCATCGGAGGGGCTGGTTCTCTCCATGCAATGTGATAGTAGCTAACCCTGGGCACTGGTGAGCTTTGAATCATTCACTGTCCCTCTGTTTTGAGGACACAGCACCCATACTTTGGTTATTCTTCAGTCCCCCTCCCCTTTATTTTCAAAGCAGAATTAATATTGTATTATAACATATAAGCTATATACATTTTCTGTAACTAAATGGCAAACGCAATTGTGACTACTATCCCAATACACCCCCTAAATTGGTCATAAATAAATTATATCATTACCTAGATAATACAAACAGGGAGTCCTAGAGCTTGCACAGATTGCCCCAGGACTCAGGGAATATGGGTTCAAGTCTCAGCTATCCATTTGCTGCTGTGAGACCTTGACCAAGTGCATTGACTTAAGAATAATTTTCTTGCTCTTGAATAAGGGGAATAATATATGATTGCCTGCATCATGGTGTTCTTTACTAAGCATTCAGTAAAATCTCTGGCACATAGTAGGTTCCTCAAAATTATTATGTTCTCTTCTTCCTTATCCTATTCCTCTTCTTCATTTGTTTTTCTCTTTCTCTCCACCAACATCACCATCATCATGTCATTTGTTTACTCTCTAAACCAAACCAAGTGGTTTTTGTGAGTGTTCCAGTGAAGCTCAGCGTAGATGGCTTCATTTCTGCCAGACCCAGTCACCTAGAAACACTGATTAGAAAATTAACGGATTGTAAGTCTGAAAAAAACTGCTGGCCTGCTTAGAACTCTGTGTTGTGACTTCCCTAAAAGTAGTCCTTCCCCACTGACCCCCTAGATTGGCTGTGATTTTTTATAAGTGAAGTCATTATAAAGCTTTATTTGTTTGAGAAGCCTTACCATTTTAAATTCTTGAGAGAAAGTATTTTATGTCACAAACACAAACATCATACGGAAAAACAAAAAGATACAGTATTTTTTATTTATCTTAAATCATTGAAAGACATCCTAAACTTAGACAGTATATGACTCGATTTCCTAGAACCCCTGTTGAGTTACTGAATCTTCTACCAGTTTCATGAGAATTTGGGGGGTACTTTATAATAAAATCTATTTATATCACATGGATTTAATTATCCAGGCAAAGCTAATGACTGATGTGAACTAAGGTGATAAATTTTCTAAGAATTTTACTTTAGTTTCCAATTGCATCTGTAAATTATCCTCTTTTGAAGACAAGACATATAGTTTTGATCATCTTAATATACCTTGTGTCTCTGTCTTGCAGTACTGTCCGTCATACAAGTGCACTGCAGATCTTCAGTAGCTCAAGGCCTGGAAACATCTTTGTAGGCCATTCCCCTTCCCCTGGAGTTATTTGCCAGCTTTATGGGGGCAGTTGGAGAGAAAAGACTCCCAGTCCAGTGCAGCTGGCTGTGTGAACACGCACAGTAATTCCTTCATTTCTCTGTGGTTGGAAAATGTCGACGTCTCAAGATGCCTAATTTGTGCTTCTATATATACTAACTTTGTATTTCTAAAGTGTGGGTAGGTTTCCTGTAAGACCGGAAAAGGGGGGGGGGGCGTCTTTTTCTCCCCTCCCCTTCAAAAGGACATCTGAAAAATTTTTATTGCACAAGATTGTATTATACTTGGGTATGCAGTGCCGCATCTTCACAAATTGCACTGAGGCAGAATTCAAAGCATTTTAGGTTTTTGAGTTTGACTTAAGAAAAGAAAAACAACAACAACAACAAAAGAAAACCCAGGGATAAGTGCGGGCACTTCAAACATTCACAACATATGTTTGGAATAAAATCCTCCTGGGGGGTATGGGGATTTTTTTTTTTTTCATGAAGGGAAGCTGTGGCAGGGCTGTATATCAATGCAAGAAGGTAGACATGCAAGTTGCATGGCTCAGCCCTGGTGTGGTGCTGACAGGCCCTCAGCTCTAGGCTCACTAGTGCTTAATAAGTTGGGAGACTATGAGAGAGGCTGAGTGGGGGTCCCCGATTTGCTTCTACTGAAGTCAGGATGAAAGTCCCCATCTCCTGCCCGGAGATTTCTCAGCAATGTTTTCTGCCCCTGCTCCATCTGTAGCCAGATATTCCAAACTTCCCTCATCCCTGCTTTCATTTACTGCTGTGCATTTATTGTTTTATAAACTTGCATAGGCAGGTGACATAAAAGTTCAAGCATTCCTCTACCCTGACCAACACTTAACTTTTATTCTCTTTCCTTTTACAGAAAACATGTGTTTCATTGTCTTCCCTCTTACTGTGAAGTCTAGTTTTTGAGCTTTCTTGCAGGGATCTGTGTGCAAAGTGCCTTTGGATTCATTAACCGCATCTTAGAGGTCCTCTGCTGGTTTTGCTAAAGGGGGCAGGGCAGGAAAATGCCTCCTTTTCCAAAAGCTCAGGTCTCGTTTACAGTTTTATAGTTGTGTGAAGATTGCTTTTCTTCTGCCCCCAACTGCTCCCAAGCAGTAATTCCTCATGGAAAATATGATTCATTCCTCCATGCAAATGCTTTGATTGAAAACACACCACTGGTATTCTTCCTTATGTTCCTCAGCTCAAATGACAGAACTATTAGTTGCTAATTAGCAAAACCTGAGGAATTAGCTTAAAGAAAAGAAACTGAATTTTTAATTGGCTTGCATTTATTTTCGGCAGAGAGCTGTCGTGCTGAGATTCTTGTGTGCTTAAAAAAAAAAAAATGCACGTAAGATTTTTTCCCCCTACCTGTCTTTCTTTCTATTAGTTGACTTTCCACACCCCTTAGAAATACATCTTCTGAGAAAGTGGAAGAGGATTTGTAGTTTACATATTTAATAGGTGCACCTGCTCACATTTCTCTTATGATGTGAGTGTTGTCTTGAGACTATGAGAGACAAAAAATGCCTACAAGGCATAAATGAATGGTTGGGTGTTGACCAGACTGTAAAGGAAGTGACAGTTCCCCAAGCACATAGTTCCATTCTCATCTAGATTATTTTTTATCTCTTTCAAGAACAGCTGATGAGCCAATCAGGAATTTTTTTTTTTTTAATATTAGATTGTTAAACTAGAAAGACTGACACTGGGTTGTACTCTGTGGGCTCTGCTGAGCAACTTGCTTCTTAGCTGCTATTCCTGAATTGAAAGGGATTGCTGGAGAGAGGAGATCTAGTCTCAGCGCCTGTGCATAACTGTTATTTGTGA